GATTTGACTTTTACAAGAATGACACCCAGCTCTGACGATGTCCATCATTTGATGGACGAAAGCTCAGCACATTTTCAGCCGAAACGAGGGAGGAAGTCCTGTGGACTGCGTCAACATGAATATCCTATACAATCCAACCGGTTGCGATCCGTCCTCATCTGGTGAGATCGACCAACGAATCTCTTCTTCATGCACTTTCATACGAAATGAAGGTCCAATGTTATCTCAGGAGATTCTCCGTCATGCACTTTCATACAAAATGAAGGTCCCTCTACATCTGGTGAGATCGACCAACGAATCTCTTCTTTATGCACTTTCATACGAAATGAAGGTCCCTCTAACAAGATCGGGTGAGATCGACCAACGAATCTCTTCTTCATGCACTTTCATACGAAATGAAGGTCCCTCTAACAATAATTAGTCCCGTGGAATGCGTCAATATGAATATCGTATAAAATCCAACCGGCTGCAGTACAACGAGTTTCATCCATCCTCATGCCAACCGGCTGCAGTACAACGAGTTTCATCCGTTATGCACTTTCATACAAAATGAAGGTCCCTCTACATCTGGTGAGATCGACCAACGAATCTCTTCTTTATGCACTTTCATACGAAATGAAGGTCCCTCTAACAAGATCGGGTGAGATCGACCAACGAATCTCTTCTTCATGCACTTTCATACGAAATGAAGGTCCCTCTAACAATAATTTCTGGTGAGATCGACCAACAAATCTCTTCTTCATGCACTTTCATACGAAATGAAGGTCCCTCTAACAATAGTTATATTTTTAATTTCAGGAAAAGACTAAAGAAGAACAATAGGAAACTAAAAGAAGACGTCTGTAGTGAGTCTATTCAAGTCTAGTTTAAGCATCACATTTAGGGGTCGGCACGCAAGATAAAGTCATAGACTTGGCAGAAGGGATAGAAGAGCAAGAGAAACGCTGGTGCCCATTTCTAATTAGCTATTAATAGATAAGTTTGCTCATAGACATAGTTTCTCGAAGTAAAGGCTTGACGACGAGTTTACTCTGTGCACATGCCGCACAGCGATCAGGGAACCCACAGCGTCAAGTTAGGTTGTCATGGCAATTGAGAATTCAGAGTTTAGGGGCTTGCTGGCGCATACGTGCTATCAAAAGCTTGATGCAGAGTGTAGAACATTACGTCTTGAATAGCACGGATAAGATGGCAGCGATAGAGTGAAATCATTGAGACAGGCAGATAAGGAAAGGATCCTACGGAGCAAGAGAAGGAATTTGATAGGACACTTAAAAGAGGATTGCGGATTAAGCTGCATCCTTGTTTCAACACTCCCTGCACAGTTGAAGGAATGTGGAAACCAGCGGAGAGTGTGAATAGGTTTTAAATAGGTTCAGATAAAGAAGTAAGAAATTGTAATATTGAATGGGTGATACGAAGAGATAAGATAGGTGAATACCCTTAGGCAGAATGAGAGATATCACAACTGGTTAGCAAAAAATTGGTTAAAGGATCGGCTTCACTTGTCTCTTTGACGAGTTGTTGTGTGGTGTTAAGAATGACAAGGCTCATTACGATTCTTGCCAACGTTTGTACCTGGCCAATGTTCCAATACCGGGAATCACGATACTATTGCAAAGGATATGAGACTGGATACGTCCCATAAGGTCGACTTGACACTTGAACCAAGTCGCTAAAATAAGGTTGAACCAAAACTTTTAAACGGAGGTTTACTAAATGTGAAAAAAAGGCAAGTCGACCCGTAAACCATTCGGTTTCTTCTAGAATAATTTAACTTTTTCATTCGGGAATTGCATGTAAACAGTGGCAGCTCTCACTTGCTACCTTACCTAATAATATATAGGATATTATGTCTTGATGTTAAATTAGCACATCCAAAACCAAGATATATTCAGCCGACTAAGTAATAAATCGAGCGATAATCGGTTGCTTGGTCTCTATTAAAATGACGCCCAAACCTCAAAGCATTATTTAAAAGCCTAATATACAAATGAGTTAAATAAATGTTAATTTACTCTATTATAAAGGCAAGATAGTCCAACTGGACACCAAAGGACTAGGTACGCTTCTATCGAAAAAATGTATGATTAAATGGAAAGACAAAGGGAGCATATATAAAAGTGCATATACAAAATAGAATTATTTATATGTATTATGTACCTTGAATAGAGAGGCGGAGCCAGGTTCCATAGAAACTTGGATCCAGAGGAAAAGGAAATGGTATCCGAATTTGGGTTACATGAGGATATTGATCACCAGCAAGTTTCTGGCGCAAGATTTCAATCTGAAGAAAATTCGGATTAAGGCAACTTCATCAATGAAAAAACATTTGTGGTGGACAAATAGCTCATCGTTGTTCAGAAAAGATCAAATTAAGAGATTTGGACCAGACAAAAATAAGTATATATACATTTATATGCCTGTCTGTTACACTT